GCAAAGCTGTGAGCAGACACACAAACCAAAAAAAGAAATGGACATTTGACAAATCGATAAGAGGGCTTTTAGCTTGGGATAACTACGCTCGAATAGATAGTCACTTTCTAGAATAATTTTTTGATTCTATTCATCAGGATAAAGACATTTCGATAGAAGAGTAAGCATAACGAATTTGTTTCCATGAGGGTTGAAATTTATTCTTAAGAAACATAATTAGACAAATGGGCGGTATGATCTGAGCAGTTAAATTTTGGTACAGTTTCGTCTATATTTCGTCCTATTTGTTACCTTTAATCACACAAAACGCTACTTTCTGGCAATTCGGATGGCTCAAATTGTATGATTTTGTGTCCATAATCGTAAAAAATTAATAACTTTTTTTAAAGAAGAGAAACTTTGTGGAAATCCGGGTTCGTTCCCCTGCAAAGGATATGGCGAATGTGTGTTGTGGCAATGGCTGCTCGATGGTACGAAGCACTGCATCGACGGAAGTGACGAGGGTTCGTTATTAGTTCGACGAATTTTCATTCCTCCTATATCTTTGTGCTAATCTCTCTAAGAATGGTTTCAGATCAGAATTATGTCAGGACATTGGAGGGATCCTATCGATGCTATTACAATAGGACGAAAGTAGTTACAATGCCCCCACCTTTGAACTATTCTGAAGCATTTTTAAAAAACGTCAATCCTTCCCTACCTGGTCGTCCACCTCAGTTTCCAACATTATTCCCAACTGTGCCGTCACATACCGTTGCTCCCTCCTTCACCACTCAGCCTCCGCCTATCAATCCTTCACCTCCCGTTCACCTTTCACGAATTACTGGTCTACCACCACTGCCTCCGCCTTACCCCACACTGCTCCCACAATCTACACCGTTCAATCCCAATCCCGTATCCTTGACTCAGACAAAATCACCGGTAGCATCTGAAACAGGAAACACAATTGTGCCTGGTTATACTATAACCCCAAGTGACCCGTTCGGATCTCCAGATGTCATCTTGCCTACCTCCATTAGCCCCAATGATCTGCTTGAATCTAATTCATTTATGCCTAATCAGGGATCGCAACAAATATCTTCAGCTACTTCACTGCCTGCATTGTCGACACCGTTAAACATAGCAGGGTCTTCCTTCACAAGAAGACGGGGTTTGGTCGGTCACATCAGAGGTCGCGCTACGACTACTATGATGCCTGGAAAAGTTGTGACACACATCAGTGTCACTGTTGTGGACACCAAAGAGGCTAGCAGACCAAGCGGGCGACAACCGGGTGAAGTCCGCGGTCACATTCCTGCAGGTAACCCTGAGGGGTCGACCAAAGTTGATAAGATAGAAAACCGTGGAGGTCAGCCATCCATTACTCATATAGACCTCACCTCCAACGGAGATGGACCCATTGTTATTACTCAGACATCCACGTCACATCCAAAAACGTCATTAGCTACTTTTACCGACTCATCTAATGCTTGGGATGCTGTTGCCGGTGCTACAGAAACAGCTCCGAAGAGTTCATTGACTGCTCCGCCACATCCAGCTTCAGTGGTAATTCCTGTACAAACAGCCGGAAGAACTGGCGGCAAAGAAGCTGAAGCTGTAGAAACATCGGACATCACTTCAATAAGTGAGCTTGGAGCGAGGGATAGGTGTCTGCATGAGCTTGTTGCTAATGCTAAGGACAAATACTCTAATTACGAATGTCAATGTGCAGTAGGTGAGATGGAAGTCAATGGAGTTTGTGAAGGTTAGTCAATTCACAAGCAAATTCCTTCTCTGCAGTTTCTCTGCATACGATTGAATATTCAAAAAAGTCTAGTTTGGGTAATTAGATCAAAGGTGCTCGCCCACTTTCTGTAAGTAGCCTAACCAGACAGAATTCTTCTTTCAAAAAAAAAAAGAGAGCTAAAAGTGGAAAAAGAATTTTTCCTTGTCGTAAACGGCTCATAGCAGAATATCAATTTAAAGGTCAGCTCTCTTCGAATGTATTATTTTTTCTCACTTCAGGTCATGAGAGAGATTTGACTTTCTTCAAGTTAGATATTCATTCTGTCTGTGGAAAAGAAGATCTGACAGATGAACAGAAGAAATGGGTAGCAATTGGCAAGGTAACATATATAGGAAATATTGATCACTGATAGCTCATAAAGTCCAGAATTCAAAGAAGCCGTTTTTTTGAGAAATTTGATTTCAGCTAGCAGAGTCTCTAGATCTTGAAGCATGTTTGAGAATGACTGCGAACGGGGATGCTATTGTGAATTCAATCTGTGGAGCTGACTGTGACCTTGACAACATTCGCAGAATCATGAAAGAACAGCCTGATGATCCTAGAAGAGTGACTATTGAAGGTAACCATCGTATAGTTTATGAAATTGTCTGGAGATACCTGACCCTAAAATTAGGCATCAACTTTTCAATGATAAAGTGAACTGAGTGACCTAGGAGGACCTATAGAATATTTAATTCAGAAGCTCCGTTATGTGAGGATAGCTCATCAAACTACTGCCATGAAAATGCGATTTGCTTAGTAGATGATGTTCGGTTAAAATGTCGCTGTCGCAGTGGCACAAACGATACATCCGATGGACTTGGAAGAGAATGTGTGGGAATCCCGACGGATAACGAGTAAGATGGCAAATTTAGATGTACCTGCTTTCATCCCCTTTCTAATAAAAGTTTTTTTTTCAGCTGTATAATGATACTAGGCGCATGTCTCATTTTTTGGTTGATTATACTTCTCGGCATCTTGTTGCTTATCCCACTATTGATATTTCTACTATCACACTGCTGTCCCGGTAATAGAAGGAACATTCATCCAGCCGAGCATGAGCATACTTCGGTGAGCAATTCCTCCTTTTTCAGAAGAGGGTTGTAGTAGAAACGGGATTTTCAAATGAGATTGAGTACGCTTCATAAAACTATAAGTTTTCTCTGTTGATTAATATAAATTAAAAGGTTTGAAAAACTGCAAATGCATTTGATTCCCTATTTTGTTGTTTTGACTGCAAAGAAACATAACTTCAGCACGGAGAGACTTCTTGTCGTAGGCATCTCTATGCCTAGATTGAGCAGTTGCTATTATGAAAGAAAAATCCCTCACTCCTCAATCCTTTCAGGAGCACCATCGTCACCACAAACACACCAAGAAAGCAAAGGGTGAAGGCGACTATAAACATATTGCTGCCATTATGTCATCAGCTAGTGCACCAGGCGCAAAAAGTTGGCTGTTGATTTAATTCGCAGATTATTTAGCATTTCTCTAAGTCATTTTCAGTAACAAAAGAAGTGGCAATGAATCTGGCTCTTTCTGACCTTTACAAGAACGACCATGTGGCTGTAGGAAATAAGAACAACGTGGCTACAATCGAAGATGCTCATGCGGTAAGACATTTTCCTTATCCTCTTGTTATCAATTAGTAACAATCACGGTTGTACCTTTCAACTCAAATCGAGCTATTGCCTTATAGGAAACTTTAAACACAGTCATCAATCAGCCAAATAATATTCCGCAGACAGGGAATACTGTTAATGGAGCAGCATTAGTAATGAACGAGATCCCGTCCATCCCTGGCACAGTGCCAGTTCCCTACGGAGAGACCCCGATTCTCGATCAGGTATGAGCTTTTGCTGGTAGAGCACGCACAGATGCTTCTTTCAAAAGAATTTGTTAAGGTAACACAGCCTCCTCTACCACAACAGCCTCCGGTTGAGGGACCTGCTGTCCTACCTCAGCGAAATCCACTGGCGCATAGGACAGCATCACAACAGTCCTTTTCGATACCTGAAGCACAGAAGGTGATTTCTTTAGAACTGCTCAGTTAACATAACTTTGTCACCTTTCAAGATTGTTTTTGCTATACTCGAAGAAACATTTATCCTTACTCTTTATCTGTGTCAATTCTCACTTAGAGCTAAATGATTACTTACTCCTTAACTTCATCCTTCAGCCACCCGTTCCGCCGTCAGCCTTGAGTGCTCCAGCAGTGGGCAGTGTTGTCTCCTTTCCAAGAGAGATTTCCACGCCACGGCCTGTCGATCCCCCTGTTGTTACACCTTATGCGACACCACCGCATGGAACACCACCACATGTCACACCTCCTCCTGTAGCCTCTCTTCCTCCTCCCTCAACTGGAACCCCTCCTCAGACAGTTGCTGGAACTGTACCAACTCTACCTCCTCCAGCTCCCCCACCACCATCTTTTCCCGTCGCTGTTGAAGTGCATCGCAACAATGACCCAAATGAGGTAGGATATGCAACTGTCGAGAAGAAACTAAACATTCAAGTCTTATAGATTCGCTTTTAGAAGAAACTCTCTCGAACTATCTCCACTCATTCCATAGGTGTTCAGCCAACTATATGGGAATCGTATAAAGCTCTAGGGGACGTTTATTCTAAGCAGGATAATTTAGGTAAGAGGTTTTTTCTCTAACCCTAGCCTGCCCACAATTATCTGCGAGAACGAAGTCACACACGGTGGGCAAAAGAGCAGAAACATGTCTATCATTCTCACATATCTGATGAGCATTTGAGGGATGATGGTTTGCTTTCAGATCGCCAAGGTAGTTCTAGCTCACTAGACACTTTAATTTATAGTCGATATCCACATATGACCGCAACGCTATTTGCTCCAAAGCCTGCTTCCTCAGGAGATAAAAGAAAACCCGAAAAGTAAGTCTATGCTTTCCAGCAAAACTAGAAAGGAATAAAATTACGTTCGAAACAGGTCGCAACCACCAGCAGCTCTCACGACTCAGCCTTTGCTACCATCATCAGCAGCTCTCGCCACTGAGCCTATCTTTGCACCAGCCAAGATGGATGGAGAGAAATCCAGTACCGAGGATGACGTACAAGTTCGTAGTGCCGTATCTCCGAGAAAAGACAGGTAGTGGCTGCAAACCCTATAATCGTAGCTCATTTGACTAATAGTTAAGACAGTATTACAAATTCTATGAGCTCTTGCTCTTTGCAGAAGTGACCAAGCAGCTAGGCTTGCCGCAATGTTGGGAGTAACTATAGACAACTCTTCAATTTCGTCATCATCACTGCCGGAGAGGCCACCAGCACTAGCATTGCCACAATCAGACGAACAGATTGTGGAAGAGATGTCGAAAGAAGGCGTTGAGCTTCCCATACCACCAAAAGAAGAACCAGAACTGTCCCTTGATGAAAGGATCATACAAACTACCCCTGATATCACGCTACCATCGCATGTCGAGTCAAAAGAAGCGGACATCGACTTAGCCCCTGTCCCTATTTTGCCAGCCCTTCCCGCTGTCCCCAACGTTGAAATAACCGAGTCTGATGATTCTGCGCGGCCTATAACGTCAAAAAATGGAAGAACACTTGCTACATCGGTGAAGCCTACCAATGGTGTCTTCGTTCCTAAGAAAGCGCGTGAACAAAAAGGAAAAGATCAAATGAAGAAGGCACCAACCGTACCAGGAGCAGACTTGTCGAGACCCGCTGGCTCACGAGAACTTTTGAAGCCTCCAGATCGAACTCATAGCTCTGCAGATGATAGTGATCCGGAGGTAAAAGCGCTTGTAATTGAATTTTCTATATTTGACATTTCTCAATACATGCTGCAAATTTTCAGGTGGCAACGTTCAAGCGTCTTGCGAGGAATGGTCGTTCCAAGGGTGCGACTCCACTTGCGAGAAGAAGACCGCGTAGACCAGAACGTCAGCTTTCAAGCATTTCAGAGAAAAGCGCTGAGATAGCTGCGGAAGCTGCTCTACAACATCAACCGCAAGATTACTCCATTTCTGCTCCTAACACAACTCGTTCTCTTACGGAATGGCAGCGTTACATACCAAAACATACCTTACAGAACACGAGTGGCTCCGATAGTCAAACGGACATTGATAGGCCTACGAAAAAAGACTTTGATAAATCTCGAATAGGAGAAAAGCGCATCTCGCCTTCGGGCTCCAAAACACTGGAGAAGCAGAAGAGGCGGCGAGCGGAAGCCGATTTATCTGCTAAATCGCGAGATTCAATGTCGGAACCATTAGCTCATCGACGTTCTCGGCTTTCTCCCATACCATCTACGTCTAGTGCTCCATTAGTGGAGTCCTACAGAAAGTCTGAAAAGGAACGTGGACTTGTTTCCTCTCCAGATATCCCTGATGTCACTTTCAGAAGGTCACTGGATCGGTTAGATTTGTTGGAGGGCTCTCCTGATTACACTATAAACAGGGGCGCCTTCACTTCTAGGTCACAAGTTGGTTCAGGACGCAAGGTTCGCAGAGCAGGTAGGCATAGCAGACAAACACCTGGTGTCCGCAGCAAGGAAACAGAGCAGATTGCAAAAGACCTCTCCCAGACTTCAGATGAGGGAGAAACGGCAGGATTGAGCACGGTAAATTCAGGCTTAAGGAAACTTCCGTCTAAGGGAATTGAAACTCCTCACTCGTCAAAAGTGACTCATCATGCGTTGATTAGCCGGAGAATCGCTACACGTCGTCAGGAGACTCACATCACGAAATCAGCTGGTGACCTTACTTTAGAGCCACGCAGTAGTTCTTCAATGAGTCACAGAGGGAAGACATCACGCTCCGCTGACAACATAAGCAGACGTCCACCATGGAACTCATCCCCTTACGTGCCTGATGACAAGTATAAAATTTATCGTGAACCATTTCTTCCTGAAATCAAATCAACCTCGAGGTATTATGAGAAAAGTCGATCCGTGGTTAACTCACCTTCAGGGTTACATCAAAGAAGTTTAAGCAAATTTTCTTTAACAAGTTTACCTGCTAGATGTAGTTCTACAATTGAGCTCTCGCCATATTTCTCACCAGGAGCTGATTCTGACAAACCACCTAAGGAGGACTTGTGGTGGGGTCCGCCGCCGCGATCTTTCAGGTAATGTCTTTCGCATTTGTTCGAGTATGTTATTTCTCTTCCATTGATCTCTCAATTTTCTCTTCAAATACACTTTATCGAAGCATTGGCCATAGCATCCGCTGTTAGTCGACAGTATTCGGTCATTTACTATACATGATCAGTGTCATTTACGTCTTTCGATTTGATTTGTAAATTATCTACGTTCTATAGAGTTGTTATATGATGACCCGTTGAGTTGCGTTGAGTTGTTTCATATGTTGCGATATGTCATCTGCTTTCGTCAGTCGGGTTTCCTCTTCAGTGTCTCTTCAAATCTTTTTAATTCTTCAAAACCGCTGATCATAAGAACATTGGTGTTCCATTACAGTTCCACGTTGCACATATATGAATAAAAACGTTGAGATGTATGGTTGTTCACACATTGCTTGCGAAAAATGTATGCAATGTCTTGGGAAACAACAGCGTTCCTCGTTTTTTTTTTTTCCTATCTTTGCCTGTTTCACTACAGGTCCACTTAAAGAACAATGGCATGGAGACCCGTTCCTGTGGTCAATGCTTTTCTTTAATTAAAGGCAAATCCTTATAGCCTCCTCAGCTCAGCATCCTTTCCTAAACAATTTCATCTACTGAAGGCTGGAGCACATATAAACAGGAAATTAAACTTTACCACATATGCAGTCTAAAACAAGCTTCTTGTAATTCATTTTTAGCGCCTTCTCAGCCTTTCATTTTGAAAACAACATATAGCAGATTGCGATAGTTTTCTTGCGAATTTGGGATTACAGCGCGATCATTCGTTAACAAAACTGCACTTTCGAAAAATGTTGACCAAAGTTTCTCACGAGACGGCATTAAATATGAGGTATTGCCTTAATCTGCATATCTCATCGATCTTGCAAGTTTGGAGACGTCGACCTTAACACAGATTAACTGCATGTATCTTCTGAACTGTTGTGTCATAGTTAATGAAAATAGGGTAACGCAGTACTCTTATAGCACTGTGACCACTCGGAATGTGGTACAAAATGCCTGCAATCCTTATATAATAAAGCGCAGGCCCCCCCCCCCCCCCCCCC